GTACGATCACAAGAGAACACCGACTCGAAATGGCACGTGAAACTCTCCATCGGAGACACGGACGTGACATTTAAACTCGATACTGGAGCTGACGTCACCGTCATATCCGAGAGAGTTTACAACAATGCCCGATTGACACCACTTAGTAGATCTAACCGGAAGTTATTTGGCCCAGGACATTCACCGCTCTCTGTTAGAGGAGTAGTAAAAACAAAGGTCACAACAATGGACGGGAAATCGGCGACGACTGAAGTCAATGTGATCGACGGCCTCAAAGAACCTCTACTGGGTTGCCCTGCAATTGGCTCACTCCACTTGGTCGAAAGAGTGAACGAGGTGAAAACCGGAAATGTAAAGGAAGAAATCCAAAAACAATATCCAAAACTATTTGAAGGTCTAGGAGAGTTGAAAGGAGAATTTCACATCCATCTTGAGGAAAAAGTGAACAAAGTGAAGAAAGAACTTGAAAGAATGGAAAACCTTGGAGTAATATCAAAAGTCAAACAGCCTACAGATTGGTGTGCCGGAATGGTAGTAGTTCCCAAGAAAGATGGCAGTGTCCGTATCTGCGTTGACCTGACAAAACTTAATGAAAGCGTCAAGAGGGAGACACACCCACTCCCAAGGATAGACCATCTGTTATCAGAAGTAAACGGTTCTAGAGTCTTCTCTAAAGTAGATGCCAACTCAGGATTCTGGCAAGAAAAGTTGTTGCTTCAACCGTATGCCATTTGAAGTGAAATCCGCACCTGAGCATTATCAAAAGAAAATCAGGCAGGAGCTAGAAGGAGTCCCTGGGGGAATATCCTTATTGGATGATATCCTGATACACGGAAAGGATCAAGCTGAGCACGATGCCAGACTTCATGCAGTTCTACGAAAACTCAATGAGGCTCAGATTACCCTCAACAAAGATAAATGCGAATTTTCCAAGAGTGAAATAACGTTTGCAGGCTACATTATCAATGGCCAAGGAATACAGTCAGACCCAGGTAAAACAGAAGCAGTACGAGAAATGGAAACCCCCAAAAATGTTGGAGAAGTTCGTCGCTTCCTGGGCATGGTCAACCAGCTAGGCAGGTTTGTTCCCCATCTCGCCAACAAGACAAAGCCACTTAGAGATCTATTAAATCAGAAGAACGAATTTGCTCGGGGAGCCACCCAAAAGAAAGCATTCGACCAACTGAAAGAAGAGCTTAGCCATACTCCAATACTGACACACTATGATTCAGCGAAGGATACAATCTTATCTGCAGACGCGTCGTCATATGGTCTTGGCGCTGTACTCCTACAAGTTGAGATCAATGACAAACACTGAACAGCGGTATGCACAAATAGAAAAAGAAGCTGTTGCCAGTACGTGGGCATGCGAGAAATTCAGTGATTACATCATCAGTAAAGATATCACGATAGAGACAGATCACAAACCGCTGGTTCCTCTACTTGGGTCAAAGAACCTGGATGAACTACCGCCAAGGATACAGCGATTTAGGATGCGCTTGATGAGATACTCCTACAGCATAGTCCACATCCCCGGCAAAGAGCTCTACGCAGCCGATACCCTCTCAAGGGCACCCCTCAACAAACCGGTCTCAAAAACGGATCAGCAGTTGAATAAAGACCTCAACCTGTACGTGCTGGCAAGAGAGAGCTCACATCACCGTTCAACCGAGCCTTCTCATGAAAGACTCGAGGTTACTAATTCCTTCTTCCATGAGACTAGAAATTCTCGACAAGATACATACCGGCCACCTCGGGATCAGGAAATGCAGAGAGAGAGCCCGCGAATCCGTCTGGTGGCCAGGCCTCAACAAGGAAGTCGAAGACATGGTAACAAAACATGAAAACAAAACCCAGAACCAAAGATGCTGACACCTCTCCTGACCGACCCTGGCGAAAGGTTACCACAGATTTATTCTACCTGAGTGGCAAGGAATATGTTCTCCTAGTGGATTACTTTTCGAGATACCTCGAAATTGCACCACTAAAGGACTCCACCAGCATAGATGTTATCAACCACCTCAAATCATTTTTTGGTCGTCATAAGATACCAGAAATGGTATTCTCTGATAATGGACCACAGTACTCTGCAGCCGAATTCGCCAAGTTCGCAGATGAATGGGGATTCACACACCTCACCAGCAGTCCAAGTCTCTTTAAACCTTATTGTGATAGATTTATATCAAGAAGCCAACATGTTGCTACRATACCAGATTTATATGACCCTGGTTACCTCAACCTCAGCTAACCAGACTTGCTAAAAAAATGTTTCGAAGTCAAATTAAACCTTGATGATAGAGACCTACATGCCATTGAAGCAGAYACAAGAAAGCAATCCAAGGTGTTGAGGCATTCTCAACAGTATTGAGATAGTTCCGTGTATCCGTTGTTCAGTATGTCCAGTGTCCGATTAACCCCGCGCGCCGTGTTGTCTGCCATGTGCTTTACTGTGAGTCGTTCATCGTTTGGTAAGTGTTTGTTCTCTCTTAATTTTCATATTGTTTTTTGTCTTCTAATAGCATTGTTTGTGAGCTAAATGTGCCTCGCTTGTTTGTGGTGTTATACGTGTTTAAATTAATGTCTTTTTTCCTAGGATTTTACTCTGATTTTTGTGTAAACCCAACCGATCGAACGTAAACGTTGTTTTGAAATAAACCTTCTACACAAGGGTAACCTCTTCTACCGACATCGGGCTGGCCGCATTGGTGCTTCAGTCAGTTGGTCTGTGGCACACAGTAATCCGACGCAGCCTTCACAGTCTTTGATAAAGTCTCTCTGCTACCCCCACTTGTTTAAAGTCACCTCGAAAGCTGTTACCCATGGCAAGAAACATAAGGCATCTGCTGTTGAGGCATATGTTTCTCTTATGAAGCAGACTCACCAAGACTTTCAAGTTAGGTATTGTCGAATTATTGTGGACAAAGAACATCCCTGGTTGCATGCGACTCCTGACTTCATGCCTTCTTGTTTCTTTTGTGGTGATGGTTGTGGGGAGGTTAAATGTCCCTATGGAATTGAAAATGGTGATTTTAATTCGTACATCTCAAAGAAGACCTCCTGTCTTGAAAAGGTAAATGGTCAATTCAGGATGACGAGAAACCACCAGTACTATTTCCAAGTCCAGCCGCAGCTGAATATAACTAAGATGAAGTACTGTGACTTTGTTGTCTTTGCCTTCAATGCTAGTAATCAACCAGTGTTTTATTATGAAAGGATATATCCTGATTGCATCCTGTGGGAATCACTACGACCAAAGCTGACCAAGTTTTGGAGGATTTGCATTCTCCCAGATATTTTTGGGTCGATGGTACACAAGAAAATGCCACATGCCAAGACTAACACAAGTTTCAGTAGTTTGCAATGACAATTCTATTTGTTATTGCAGAAAAGCTACTGAAGAGGAAACCATCACCTGCTCCAACCCCAAGTGCCCTTTTATAAAGTTTCATTCGTCATGCCTGGGAATAAGTGATCAAGTCACGAGGATTTGGTATTGTCCTAGCTGTCGTCTGTTGCCAGAATTCAAAAGAAGTGCAAAAACCGGGAACGCAGCAGAGCAGGATACATGTTACAAAGCACTCAGAGTGGATAGCATCTGCATTTGTAAGTCCAAGCCAAGATCAGATCAAAGGCTTCTTGAATGTCACAGTAAAGACTGTCAAAATGGAAAATTCTTTCATTTAGACTGCCTTAATTATAAAAGGGTGCCAAACAACAGCAAGAGTACATGGATTTGCAACAACTGCAAAGGAAAGCCCCACAAAGAAAATAAACCTGAAGCATCCCATGCTACCACCACACCACAAGCTGAATGTAATAGTTCCACATCAACTTCTTCCAAACAATCTACCACTTGTGCTTCTTGAGTCCACAAGATCTTACTTGCAGTGATGACGATAACAGTGTTTATGATCTATCTGACATCAATGATGATGACCTATTTGATGATCCATCTCATGATGCTTTAGAGGTAACTAATGTTACTCAGGGAAACACTGATAAGACAGCCTCTTTAGGAAATTTAACCCAGGCTGACTATGATACCATTGAATCCCCAACTGGATGGCTAGGCTGCACCATCATTCAACAAGCCCACATTTTCCTGAAACAGGTAAATCCAATGATCGATGGTTTTCAAAAAACCACCTTGGGACCAGTAATGAACTTCGATGCGATATCAACATTGAAATTCAGCATTGGGTATGCACTAGTTCTTTAGGCTGTTTACCTGGTGTAGTAAATTTGTATGACAGTTTGTTGCATGTCATCATCAGAAATGAAGCAGAACACCAAGTGAAAGATCTAATGGCAGACAAATTTGTAGGGATAAACATTGCACCTGTCCAGCAACAAGAAAATGGCAGTGATTGTGGTGTGTTTTCCATTGCGTTTGCAACATGTAGCGCGTATGGTCGTGATCCTGGGACAGTCACCTTTGATATACAAAAAATGCGCCCACATTTATCTAAGTGTCTTAAAACAGGAGTAATCAAACCATTTCTCAGTTTTAAGCAATTAAGCTTTGGAAACGTGTAAAGGAAACTCCGTGCATGAAAGAACCTGGCTACGACACCGTTCTCGTCGTTCATCGTGGGCTTGTCACGCTGGCGTCTTTGGGCTGTTCAAAGCAATCTAAACTGCAACACGCGGCTCCAGTGAAAGTAATAAAGTAGCCGGCATCAAAACTACCCTGTTTGACGTCACAGATGGTCTAGATGCCTCAGGAGTATGGTTAAAGTTGTTAACGGAAAAACGTTGTGCCTGTCTAAAGTTACTGATGCATATTGGTCAAAAAAGTTAACTTGCTACAATCCTCGGTAACCCATGTTGATAAGACTATGTCGCAATGGCGCCAAGCACTTGTCGAGTCTGCCGGTAAAGAAAGCTGACATTTAAACTTAATTTTGGAATTTATTTCCAAATACTCGTTAGACGTCAATCGAGCATTTGCTGACCTCCTACAACTGACGGAAGTAGAAAATGTACTCCGGCAAGCAGGAGCCCTTCACAGTCAAGAACTTGCAGGTTCTTCCCACTTCCCACTTCCCAAGATTTGTCGCCGCAGAAATTTCAGCCCGCCTCGCATCAGTACCCTCCATCCGCCTTACAGCTCAAGCCTTTAAAGAAAAATACCCAGTCATCCTGCAGCTTATCGTCGATTATGAACTGAAAGCACACAAGCACCTGTCTCTCAGTGTTTTGGTTACAGTGCCAGAGATCACGACCAACGAAGCTTTCTGTGTGATAGAACATATAGTACCACTTCAGTATAATGTATCTGGCACCTGTTACACTGGCCCCATCAACCGCGACGATCTGGCCCTTGTTACCTGTCCAAAACTCTCAAGTCCTCTTTAAAGTGTCTTAGTGATAAATCATCACTTATGTGCCCTGCTAATATTCTAAGGGGTGCTCAAGATGTCACCTGGTTAGGCATTCCGTGGGCCCCAAACTCTCGTCTTTCCTTTCCTCAAAGCCATACAAGACTCGATAATTACGACAATCATCATGACTTGGTTCACCTTGGTGGCCGTTATTATCTATCCACAACATCAACCGATCTATCAGTCAAGAATGGTTCCAAGTCCTGAGTGCTCCCATTATCTCCACTGATGGTTTATCACCTCCCATGTGATGTCTCGTTTGCTACACAAGAAACAGGCTTTGGTACTTGCCCCTCCAGTCTCAGAATTGATGTGCCGATATTTTTGACTGTTCAACTAAGTTACATCCCCTGGCATGTCGCAATGGACATTTCCACAATAAACCTTCATTACAAGTTTCTTTACTTTAACAAGAATATAACCCATACTGGGTAATGGACAACACGTTTGCTAACCTGGACGGCCAACTTGGATCAAAGCTCATCCAAATAAGGAAGGACATTGCAACTATTACAGAAACTTCAACCACAACAGTTAATGATATCCTGACGTACATTGCATTTTCGCTTGCTGTTTTAAACCTTCTGCTACTTTGCCTTATCTTCGTTTTGGGACGACACTTATATTACAGTCACGGCATTCGCAAGCCGGAAGAAATAGACCTCCGCCACAAAGAACAAGTTACTACGGAAGATCCACGCTGCATAGGCTGTAACCACCTCTTACAAGCAACAGATCATGAAGACCCTGACAAAGGTACAATTGAACTGAACTCTTAGTTAAATTTAATGGTAATGTTGTACAGTAGTGTATGTGCGCGACAGGTCACAAGGCCCAAAAAGATTTGTCCGAGAGACACTGGGTACTCTTTTGCGATAGAACTAAGATAGTTAACACTGCACGTGAACTTTAGTTATGAAATTTAGTTATCAAGAGGAATATTGGAGATTTTATTGAGTTTTTCTTTTGGATTCGATAGGGACACATTCGGTAAGTCTGTAATAGTTGTATTAGATCACACAGATTGATTCTAAGAATCTCTTTAATTGTATTTATAGTGAACCACGCATCGATACACGAACACCTCGACTCTTCAACACAGCACACCTTTGAGAATTTCTGTGTTATGGAATAAAGCAGCAGTAAGGGGGACTCGCGGTCAATGTCAAAGATTTACGGGTTTTACAGGCGGTTTAAGGAACGGGTCGGCAGCGGGAATAACCCGCGCGTTGAGTCCTTACTGCTGCTTTGTCCGCATACCGCAAACGGAGGTTAAGATACTTCATAGATATAGACGGACACCATCACAAGCATTCGTAACAAAACTGTACGCCGACTGCGAACTATGGTGTTGGATCACCTGGATGCGGACTTTGCCTTCACAACGTTTATGGAGGGAGATACAGACGAGGCGATGAACGAGGAAAGAGCAGAAAGGATAATTGACTTAATGCCCGAAGGTAATTACCGTCTGGAGTTGACGTTCATAAAGTATTTAGACAGTGAGTGGATAATAGAAAAGGGGCGTAATCCTATCAGGGCTACAGGTAAGCAGAACCTGTTTGTCTTGAATAAACATACGCGTCCTGGAGCACTTGTGGGGATTGATATGTCGTTCTACGAGGTTGCTTATCCGKTCACTGTGGTCATTACGCGTACGAGATTAAAGAACCGGACGTTAAGAAGCTTAAACCAATGCGTCATCCTGGTAACTGCGTAGGAAAGCTGGTTAGAGAGTTCTTTGAGGATTCCTCTAGGGGTGGTAAGTTAACTTTAAAGAGAAGAGATGCCATCAGGAAATGGGAAAAAGCCACTTACAAGACTGGAGGAACGATAGACAACATTAAGAAGTTAGAGGTTGCTTTAGAAATGCGCATACATGTGAAAGACATCACCGACGGCTTCATTTACTCCGGGACACATGAGTACGGTGGCAGAGGTGCGCCTATCGTAATTTACCAGCATAACGCACACGCGTGGAGGGAATTACGGTTCCCAAAGAAGAAGGAGACGCGCGTTTACAAGGAGTCACCACTCGCAGAGCTAATACAYGAGAATTCCATATGGTTAATGGATGCGGAAGGAAGTCAATTTATGRCCCAAGACGGTACTTTATATCGTCCTCAGCTGGAACACCAACGCATTCAAAGCGCCTGCGAGACTTTAGGGGAGGACTTCTCTGACGAGGTTCTTAGTAGTCGCAGTTTGGACTTCTTAGCAGCCAAAAAAAGGAACGGGTGGAAATCCACGCCGGAGGAGTTCAAAGACATAGCTAAAGCCTGTGTAGAACACGGTCACGGCGGTCTGTGGAAAATGGAATACGACGAAGACGAATACGTGTCTTTGGATATGAAACACTGTTACCCCGCAAGCTTTAAAGGTCTAGGAGATTGTAAGGAATATTACGGCCGTTACGGACATCCAGACTCCCAATTCTTCCGCGTGTCTCTGAATGGTCACTACGACGCCCCAGCAACGGGGTTTGTACGGTTGACCACCTGGAAATTAGCGTCGGGCCTGCATCCAATAATCTATGCGTGGTACGGRAAGCACCTGCAGGAGAAAGAATGGATACCGGTGCCCTTATTGAAGTTCTTTGAAGAGCGTAAGCTGCTCGAATACACAGCGCATGAAGCCATACTTTGTCACAGCGCCTTCACACAATGGTTACCAGAGCACAACCCCACGGCGAGGATTGTCATAGGAAAGTTCACGCAGGGCGCTAAGGAGGGAGAGAAACATATGCAGCGGCGTTTAATAACAGACGAAGGAGAGCTAAGTTCCTTATAAAGCGCGCACATGATGAAGGAACGACGGTATCCGTGGAAAAGTGGGACTACCTTGTCGACGATCAGCTGCACAAATGGAATGCGCTTTGTTACTATCAGGAGCATTGACCGCAATATTACCACCTGCGTGCTAGTATGTTAGCATATGCGCACGTGAACCTCTTATCAATGCTGCTACGGTTTGACAAAGAGGAAGTGCCGCGCGTTGCTACGGATTCTTTGTATGTCAAACCGCAAGTACTGGAGCGAATGCGAGAATTCTACACTGCTGATGAACTCGCAGAAAGTGGTCAATGGCGCGTCAAAGATGAGGAAATAAAAGCATGGAGATCGCGTGTAGAATACCGTGGAGAACACACCCGCGGCGCTGTTACGCCGACCGCGGAAACCCTACCTACAGTTGCGGACCCCATTTCTTACAAACGCTTCTCCTACCTTTACGGGACGGGAAGTAGAGGTAAAACTACGCGCGTATTGAAGGTGTTTCCTAAGATAAAGGTGTTAACGCCGACGCATCGCTTGGAAAGGGAATTGTGCAGCATGGGCTACGATGCACAGACTTATCACAGCTTCTTTCGCTGGAATGGTCAAAAGTGGGTGCAGGAAGCAATACGTGAAATACCTCCGGTGATACTTTTGGATGAGATCTGTACCGTGCCCTTAGAAATACTGCAGGAGTTTGTAGAATTCCTTCGCGGCAAATGTCAAGTGATATTTGCGGGGGATCCGTGTCAACCGCCTCCGATAGCGGGGGCAATGCGGCACGAATGGTTGCGGGAAATGGTAGACCACTGCGAGGAGATTAACACAGATTACCGCAGCAAGGATCACGTCCGTAATTTGAAAGCAGAACTGCGGGGTATTACGTAAGCGCATGCGGGCGCGTAAATATGAAGACTTCCTTTACACATGGCATCCAAAGGATCTGGTGCTAAGTAGTAAGCGCGCAGCACAGTCGCGCATACAGAAAGACCTGTTCCGTGTGCATCAGAAGCGCTTTCCTGGGCATCTGGTACCCGTCTCCTACAAACCCCACGACACCCGCATGCAAGCGGGTGCCGCATACAAGCGGCACGACGAAGAAAAAAATATGACGTTCGACCTATGCGTGGACGACGTCTATAAGAAAGGGGCGCGGTGTGCTAAATGTATCACCACTACTATGGAGATTTGACCCAAATGACGATCAGCAGTTCTCCGTGGATCGTATAAATAATAAACGCGGGCATTGTAGAGGCAACGTAAGACTGACATGCCTAGAGTGTAATCGGGCGTGCGGAGCAGCATTACTTTGAGTCTTTGGGAACTATGAGCAGCTCTTCCTTAACAAATCCACGACTTGGGCCATTTAGGTAATACAACACGGGTTGCCCTTCCTTGGTGACGGACTTCGAAATCTCATACGTTTTCAGAGACCAGTTAGGATCCGTGGCTCTCTTACTGCCACCTTCCCCCGGCTGATAGAGGTATCTGACCACTATGTCGCGGGGTAGCTTTTTTTCCTTCAGTCCGACCGCCCTTGAACTTCTAACGTAGGACTTGTGTTCCACGTGTTTCTTTTTTATGGCGTCCTTGGGTTTCATTCCCGTAGCCCTGGCCGCCTCGTTGTTCAAAGCCGCGACGACCTGGGGGAGCCTCTGAGTCCATTCCTTGTTGCGTTTGGAGGGATCTTCCAACTCTTTCCAATACTGGTATCCAAAGAGACGCTCAGCCAGGGTCTTATTGAATCTTTCGACGATGCTCTGCCCTCTGTGGTACTCTGCTTCGGCTCTTCTTATCTTAGTGTCGTGGTCTTTCAGGGTTTTGGTAACCACGCCCATTAACTCTGTCCCGGAATCCACTTGCAGCAGCTTAGGCCATTTCAAAACGCGCTTATAAATCTTACCTAGGGCTTCTGCGACTTCCCCAAAATCCTTACTGGTTATGGGTTCGGCGTCCTTGTATCTGCTTGCGATATCAACCACGGTCAAAGCGTATCTATAGGTCTTTCTTCTCACCGTGTCGTGCGGTAAGAAAAGCAAATCCGCCTCATGAACTTCATTAGGGGCATTTACGGTAAAGCTGGGTCTGGGAATGTACTTGGGTACGGGAAGATAAACCTGCCAGAGTGTTTGTTTCTTTAACCAGTTCTTAGCCGTTTCTTCTGATACCCTGGCTGCGGTCGCAAGTTTCTTGATAGCCGACGCTCCCCTCCAATAGCCCTCAGACCCGTAGTAAATCCTCTTAAGTTTGTCCTCAGTTCGACCCATTATATGAATTCCAGGACAAGATTGATCTTACGTCCGTTGAAGTGCACAGTCTTTCCATCCACTTTAATGGTGATGTTTATGCTTTCTACCAAATCACAAGGCAAGTCATAGTTTAAAGAAATGGGTGTGTATTCTACCAGGTCAAATGGATTACCTTTGGGTGAAAACTTAGACATCAGAGTGGACTTCTTTCCATTGCTGTAACTATGAACCAAATCGCAATAGACTTCATAAGAGGATGCAACTTTCCAACTTACGGGAACTGCCGTGTTGGTAATCGTTTTGCCTGAGGCACTTAATAAAGATCTCAATGGGTCAAACTTTCCAAAAGTTACTGAAAAGTTCGGCATATTATGTTTGAGGGTCATTTCATGCGGCAATCCTGTGGTGAGAGTATAACCGCGCTTAGCTAGCTCCTTAGCTAGCGTTATAGGGGTGTAATGTCCATCTGGGAGCATTTCACCTTGATAGTTAGATCCACTCTTATGCACGGTGACCATGCCATTGATCAAATTATACCAAGAATTGTACAAAGAGCAACTGACCAACCGAACCGTATGGGCTTTGATGGGGGGATTCAAATAAGTGGTAAAGTCATTCTTATCGCTTTCCAAAAAGACAATCATATATTACAGGGGACAAGTCCCCTTCTAGAAGCAAGCTACGCTTGCTGACTTAGACGAAATACGCCAAGGCGGCTCCTCCTGCCAGCCCTGCGAATCCTACGAATACCAGCTCATTGTCTTTTTGTTTCTTAGAAGGCTGGTAGTAATTCTTAAACTGAGGCCTTCTTAACCCCGTTAATGCCGCGGGGTGCGTCTGTGCATAAAGTTTAAAGGCGTAGTCCGTATTTTCGAAGTTYTTATCCGCCTGCATCTTGTCTTGGTAGTTCTTATCCAACCAATCCCTGTAAGCTTGTCATTTTTCATTCCAAGCTGCCACGTCTCGCTGATCGTGTCTTTTCCTTTCAGCATCGCTTTTCTCGCCTCTGACTAATCTATTCAAATATTGACCACCATAATTAGCTCCTGTGAATGCTAACGCTGCAATAACACCACCTGCGACCACGCTGACCATTATATTTTAGGGAGGTACTTTTCCTTCTGTAGGTAGTCCTTAAGGGCAATGCTGCCTGCTACTGCAGCAGTCATCTTAGCAAAGCCTGTAATGCTCTTGCTTGGGTCTTCAGTAAAGTCTTCTTTGAGCACTTTCTTACCTACCCAACCAAGACCTGCGACAATAGAAGTAATAATAGCTGCATCTTCGACGGTTTTCATTAAGGCGGACGACATTATATTACAAGGAGAGGAGGTTTTATTCCATTTCGGGTATTTTACTTCTCTTAGGAGGCTCCACATGCACGGCCTTGAATTCCACTTTTGGTTTAACGGCCCGCCACTGTAAGTAGAGACTGCCTGCTGCTATAGCAACTCCCAACGCGCCAATGACGTACCCAGGATTAATAAAGGATTCGCCTTCGTCCTCCTCTTCCTTCTTTTCCTTTTTGGCTTTGTTCTTTCTATTCATCTCAGCAAGCTTCTTCCCCGCAGCGACTCTGCCCGGAGCTTTGGGCTTGGTAATTTGCTTCTCTACTCGAGGGGTTTCCTCCGCCTTTGTTTCGGTGTCACTCATCTTATATTAGGGACTTGAAGGACTTGACAAGTAACTTGATGACGACTTGATGACGACTTGATGACGACTTGACGATGACTTGATGACGACTTGACGATGACTTGATGACGACTTGACTAAGTACTTGTGGCGACTTGACGATGACTTGACTAAGTACTTGTGGCGACTTGACGATGACTTGATAATGACTTGACGAAGTCCCGTGAATGACTTGATAATGACTTGACGACGACTTAAATAAGTACTTGTGGTGACTTGACTAAGTCCCGTGGATGACTTGAACCTCACTTGAGGTGTCAGCAAGTGCCGCCTGGAAGACCTTTTCGACTACTTTGTCCTTCTTGAAGTCCTTCCAAGTGGTTCCAAAGGAACCTAGTACCTCCTTCAAGTCGACATGCTGAGCTACGTGCAAAGCCGCAGAGGCGACTGCCATTAACTTACCGCACTTCAAAGACAACCACCCGCAGGTTATCTTAAGCTCTTGAGCAATGACATAGTCCTCGCTTATGTCCTTCCGTAGTTGATCCACGTCGTCTATGGGCAGCGCAAGTCCAAGCAATTTAGTGGCAAGTCGGATAGCAGAGTCTGCTACGGCGTCCGTGGTCTTACTTGCAAGGGCAGCCTCGTACCTCTTATGGAACTTTTTGACTTCCTCTTCTGACAACTTATTAACTTGCTCATGGGTAAGTTCCTTGCCTATCATTTCCTTACTCTTCCCCGAAGACACAAGCATGTTAAGTTGTTCTTTAAGGTTAAGCTGCTGGGAGAGCAACCAAACGCTGATATTGTCATGTCTACCACTGAAAGCGAGTTTGACAAGCTCCGATTTGCGTCTTTTTATGTCGTCCCCGCAGGCGATGTCGTCCAGTATGAGGAGTGTCTGAGTATCTTTAGGGAATTGTCGATGCCAGAACTTAAGGTGGTTGGATAACTCGTTAGGATCTAAGATATCCACGAAAAAGTCGTCATCTTTCACGCCTATGCCTTCCCAGGTGCGGTTATTCACGTAGGTGGGGCAAAGTAGCACTATGTAGTCAAATTGGTATCTAAAGGGTCCTAATAGCTGCTCTACTACGAACTGGGTCTTTCCGCAGCCGGTGGGTCCTACTATCAGAGCGTTACAAGGCATGTGATCTGGGTTCATTTATATCCCTTCTCTCGAAGGAAACTTGTTCCCTGATATATATGGAGCCCGTGGAAGCAGTGCGGAGAATCGTCAACGACATCAAAGATAAGAGAGATACCATCGAAATGCAAAGGGAGGAAATTGATCGCCTTAAAGGGCGCGTGCAGGAGTTGTACGATGAAATGTGTGGTTTGAAGCGCGCGGAACGGTTTGGTGCGTTAGTAACGATGGCAACGTGGGCTAAGGAGTCCGTCGTAGACTTCATGAAATATCCCATGTAGAATGTTGAAGATATGGTTAACATTTGGTTAAACAGGGTTGGAAACTATTTCAAAACCCCTCGTAGAATGTTGAGGATTAGGTTAAATATTGGTTAAATGGGTCTGGAAACTTTTTCAAAACCCCCCTCAGAATGTTGAGGATTAGGTTAAATATTGGTTAAA